AGTATATTCGTCGACGATGAAGAATTTAATGTTGTTTTATCAACTCAGTATTTTGTATCTGATTTACCAGCAAAATCTTTGTTCTGCAATACAATCAGTTTTAACGGATACTATGCTTGTACGTGCTGTTGTACTAAAGGTAAACAGTTTTAAATATTAACCTCATTTTTTCTGCATTGTTGTTTTTCTTTCCTAAACCTTACCATCTGATTTTCTCACGAATAGGTATCAATTGACAAGGATGTCCGCATCAAAGATGTGTTCTTTAATTAATTACTGTGTTATCTTTAGGTGACTGGAATCCGATGTATAAAACGGTGTTATATCCGTATAATCAAAACAATTATACTCCACGGACACATGTTGGTTATTTAAAAGCTGCAGAAGAAGCTGTTAAAAAATCGAGCGGATGTCGTGAGATTAATGTGGAAGGAATCAAAGGCTTATCAGCATTGACCGAAATATTTTCATACCCATCCCAAATAATTTTTGATTATATGCATTTAGTGTGCTTGGGACGCATACCAACGTTAATCAAACGCTGGTGCCAAATCATTAGCAAACAAAATGTTCAAGATATTGACGATGTATTAAAACAAATACGCATTCCACACAATATGAAAGTTAGTTATACTGAATCAATTATGGCTGTCGATCAATGGAAAGCGAAAAATTCAAGGTTATTTGTATTAAATATTGGCGTCCCAATTTGTGTGAGTCATCTACCAATACTATTTGCCTCTCATTTTGTCATCTACTCAATTGCAATTAAATTGTTACATGCACCGAAGTCAGATGATGAAATTAATTTGGCACAACAGCTGATCAATTATTACTGTAAAACAGCACCGTTAGTCTATGATCCGTCCATTGAATTATTTTCATTAAAGCTGCACAATCAATGTTTAAGCAAAACATACAACTGATACAGATCCCACTAGAATGCGATCTTGATCATTTTTTATGGAATTCAATGAATGATGAATTAGCCGCATTTTGGGATCGATGGTCAACACATTCCGCGAGCAATCCCCGCTGTGATGACTGTTCCAAGCCCATGGTTATCGATGGGCATCAGAAGTGTACTCGTCGAGTATGTTGCTGTGTTGATACACAGCTACAATGTCATGAATTAAAACATGACACATTTGTAAGTTAACTTTTTGTTTCAAGTTTTATTCTCCGTTTAATCCATTAAAAGAAGTTTTTCTTTTTTTAGATCACCTGTCCGTTCACTCCAGCCTACAAATCTCGATTTTGTAAAATCCAACATTTAGATCCT